GTCTAAAAATCCCATGTGGCAAAAATGGACAAATCCCAAATCCCTCCCAAATCCCAAATCCCGCCCAAATCCCAAATCCCAAATCCCATCCAAATCCCAAATCCCACTCAAATCCCAAATCTCACCCAAATCTCAAATCTCCAAAACCCAAATGATAATTATTATGAGTTATATACATTAAATAGAATGCATACGAGTACCTTATAGTCAATTCCGTGAAATGAACGTCTTTATCATAAGAAATAAATATTTAAATTTTATATCAGTCAAGTTTTTTTCGAAATATCCAGTTCGTTATAAAGTGACGTAATTTAGAAGAAAACTTAATTCAAATGTATCATTATTTAGAAAGCATAAAGTAAAATTTCAATTCTACTTTCATTATAGTCAATCGAAACTAGTTTCACCATAATATCGCTTTTTTTTAAAAAAGCTTTGTGAAAATATTCACTTGCGTACTGCGAACAAGAAATGTGAATTTATTGATTGGGTAGTTCTTAACCTTTCTAATATTCATTTTATAAAAATAATAAATACAACTGTACATATAAGCATTCTATCAAGTGAAATATATTTGGTGACATCATAAAAGGTTATCGATCAATAACTTATTAATTGCTACGACTAATTGTACAAGCGACTCTCATTATAGTGAAATTATCTGGATGAAAATATTATGTTGAGAGTTCGCTAATCGACGTTAAAAGGCTTACATCATGCTAGGCTTACCATGTTGCCGTGTCCCAATAAAAATTTTTCTAATTATCAAACTTTTATTCAAGTAAAAAAAAAAAGTGTATCCCTTGTAACTTAGCGTTGATTGAACTTATATAATCATATAGCATTTGCTATTCGGATGCTAAACCTTAAAAGAAATAATTTAACAGCATTGCTCAATATCAGGCTTTCTTTTCTTTATTATTAATAAAAAAAAAAAAAATTTAAATGCCTACCATTAAACTTTAAGATTTGAAGAATCTTATTACAGTAATGTCTTTAAAATCATACGAATTTCAGAGAATCATATGAATTTGCGAAGGTGGTATACCTTCATTTGCAAACTTTAAAATTCGTTCACAGATATCATTGGACGTAATTTTCATCCACGAAGATAGCATATATTAGTATGAAAAGGCATTATCAGTAATCTTTAAGTTTTTTTTTCCCCTTAGGATGTAGTGTTGAGGATCATGCGGATAATAATAAAATTTTTACTTGATTTTATACTAAAAAAAAATTCTAAATTACTAATGCAATATATGACAACTAACGATAAGCGAAAGCATTGTTATTTTTTATTAACCCACCTTAAACAAATTCATCAGTATGCGCTGAGTCAATATTGAACATGCATACGATACGGAAGATATTATTAATTATCAGGTATAGTTATTGGTCAAGGTAAATTAAAATATATAATAACTGATATAGCTGAAGGACAATGTGATCACTTATGGAAGGTCAAAAACGATAATTTTCTAGTGGGTTAATAAAATTGGTCAGCCAAGTTTACACCCTACGACAATTCAATTAAAAAAAAATATAATGCGAATACTTACTAGACAGTAATAAATTCAATATACGAATAACTAAAACAGTACGATCTATTTAAAATAATACTGCTGTTCTGATAATGCATTATTATTATTTTAATAGCTTGTTTAATTCTGCAATGTATTTTCATCAGGAGATAACTTCTTAGCTTGATTAAATCTGTAAGTGCTTCTCTATATACATTTTCTGACTTTAACATGAATTATATATTATTAATCTAAATCACTAATAAGATTATCTATATCAAAATTCTTATTTCCATGTATAACCGCTTTACTTAAACTTGCAGTTTCATTGGGCTCTAAGTTGGAAGACAAAGATATAAAGTTTCCAACTTCTAAATTTGTTGAATTTTCATTAACTAATTCTTCTAGTTCTTCCTCCGTTTCTTCTGTATTTTCCTCGGCAAGCTCTTCCAAAACAGCAAATGATTCTTCTTCACTAAATAGGTCCCATCTTCTATAGAACTTGCAATTTTATTGAAAATAGACAATAGGTCTTCTTGGCGAAGATTTTGCTCTACATAATTGAGTTCTGATTTAGCATTCTCGACTAAAAATGAGTGCATTTGGGCCATGACTTCTAAACGTTCAATGCTTATTCTAGAGAAAAAAAAAAATTTTGTAATAATGTAAAAATTATGATAAAAGAGAAAAAATTAGTTTGTACCTAGTCCGTCTTTTTCCAAGATACCAGTTTAATACACTAAAGAGTCGCTCACAAGCGGCATTATGGGGTGAAACTGAATGTACTCTTAGGGCGAGAGTTTTTATATGATCTTCATTTTTTTTAAGTTCTACGGACATCCACCAATCAATAACTGTATCAGTAGATGGAATAAATTCATCATCAAAGGGGGGCCGGTGATTTTTGTATAAATTCATTTGCGATTTTAAAATTCCAGCACTTATATCTCCTCCACCTATTTGTTTCCATATTTCCATCGCCTTTCTAAAAACATAATTTTTATATATGCCAACTTCGAAAAAATTACCTATTATAAAAGAAATAAAAAAATAAAGCAAAAATAAAATAAAAATACAATGAACTATACATATTGACTTCTAAATACCACGGTAAGTTGGGTGTAAAAAAAAAGATAAGAGATACAATTCAAAGTCAAACTCCTTCCATCGCTTATTATATATAGCAATACAATCACACCGAAATTGGCTATTATATAAAACAGACGTCTCCTGGATTGCAATCGCCACTTTTATGAGTTCAACAAAAATGTTAGCTAATAAGGTGGTTCGAAATTCTACATTTTTTACAGCTCGCTTTACTGGACCGAGAATATTTCTAAGTTGTTCAATATCAATCCAAAATTGACGATCATTGATTAGATTTCTTACAGCGTTTGCACGGGTAAAAATTTGAGGCTCTTGTTCTAAAACCTATTAGCAGAATTAAATAATACTATATGAGTTATGAGAAGAGAAACCTGTAAACCATTTCATCCATTATGATAATAAGTGAAATGGTTTACAGGTTTTCTCTCATATGTTAAATACTCTGGTTATTATATTAAGGTCACGGGTATGTGTTTTGGTCCGTATGTAGTATAAGTACAGTAGAAACTTTATATCCAATAGTATAAACCAGAATTATAAACTTTACCAATTTAATATTTGCTTCATTACGTAGGATAGATTCACAGGAATCCCATGCCGTTGACCACCGAGTCTTAGTTGGTGACTTCAAATTTCCACCAAGAGTAGAAGAAAATGCGATTTCTTCTCTAAGAGCGGCACCAGCAGAGTAGGAGTTCTTAAAAAAGGATATAATTGTTTGGCAGTTTGACAAAATCTTTTTTGTATGAGGTAATTTACAAATGCTGCTAGAGATAAGTTGGATATGATGCGCAATGCATCTTATGGGTAAAATATGTTGATACTTTTGCGTAACCTGTCGTTTTGCCGCCATCATCGACGATTCAGCATCAGAAACTATTGCTGTAAATTTTTCCGGTCCAATCCTCTCTAACACCTCAATTATTTTTTCAGCATTAAACTTCGCAGTATGGGAGAACTTTGAAAAATCTCATAAAGAATAGACATACTGTTTTCTTTCACTTGTCATTATAACAAAAGCGTATATGCTGCGGTTCAATGGACTGCACCAACTATCTATGCATAAAGTTAAATTTCTAGCCTTAGACAGCTCCTTATCCATTTTTATTATAATATTTGCTGCCTCTGCGTCTAAAATTGATGTTGCTAAGGCAGTACGCTTGGGTGGATCATAGCCGGGATTTAATGCTTTGGTGTAGTCTTCAAAGTAAGGATTGTCGAAGGCTGAGAATGAAATGCCAGAAGATACAATCCATTTAATCAATGATTGGTTAGCACTCTTTTCTTTAGCTTTATCGATAGCTTGTTTCACATTATAATAGGCATCTACAGATAACTGAGAATATTCCGATTTTCTTTTTTTAAAGGCAGTTGATTCAGGTGATATAGGCTCACTTTGAAACTCTTGAAGTACTTTAATTCGGATTTCTCTAGGCACATTTCCTTTACATTTTATTGCAAGATGGGATTTCATTTCATAAGCTCTTCCTCGAGACCACTTCTGACTACAATATCTACAACTTGCTCCTTTATGTTTTCCCACTCCATTATTTATAGCATCATACTCTTCCCATATGTCTGCAAGGGGCCGTCCACTATTAGTTGATGATTCAGTTTGTATAGATGATGCGGTTTCACTAACTACATCATTAGAAGTTTCATCGCCATTATTTGTTGCATATTCATTATTTGTTGCATATTCATTATTTGTTGCATATTCATTATTTGTTTCAGTATATTCATTATTTGTTGCATATTCCATTTTAGAAAATTGAAAAAAAATGAAACTTGAAAACAAGCAAAAAAAAAAAGCCAGTTGTAAGTTTGCAAATAATTGGTTTAAAATTTTGCTCGTATTTTATAAAAAAAAAAAAAAAAAAAGGCCGAATCACTATCTAATATTAGTAATGGTTAAGAACTCTAAAAAAAAAAAAACTTTATTTTTTGAAAAAAGAATAAAAGCGAACAAATCGTTAACTGAATACAGTATATCGATGCAATCTCAAGCGTTACAGCAGATTTGTTATCTAAAGTATTTGCAGATTTATAGAAGTTACACGATTATCACTATTAAATTTGTAAATGTTTATATAAAAACCCACGCCCTAAAAATACCTCATAATGTTGACTGTGAGTGACTCATCAGAGTATTAAGCTGGTATCTTGGTAAAAGACGATTAGGTGTGTTAATCTTTTCTCTTTTTATTATATGGGGTTGCGTCAATAGATGTTTTTCAATAAGTTTTAAACAAGAATAACTTGAAAAAATTTAATAATTTTTTTTTTAAATTAATTCTATAAGTCGTAAAAAAATTTTTATTAATTTGCTTGATTTCTATTGACTCGCCCCTATATTTTTTCATTATTACTAAAAATACTATTTTTTTTTTTTTTTAGGTTAAGCATTAAACGTCTAGAGGTTATGGTCTGGATACACTCATTTTTAGTCGAGAATGCTAAATCAGAACTTAATTACGTGGATCAAAAGCTTCGCCAAGAAGATTTTCAATAGAACTATGGAGGACTAGTTTATTCAGTGAAGAATCATTTTCTTTCTTGGATGAACTTGCAGAGGAAAAAGATACGGAAGTTGAGGAAGAACTAGAAGATTTGGTTAACGAAAATTCAACAAATTTAGAAGCCGGAAACTAGTGATTCAGAAATGTATATAGGGAAGCACTTACAGATTTAATCACTAGAAGTTAAACAAATAATGCATCTATGTTAAGAAGTGCAACTTATCTTGTGATGGAAAAAGGGCTTGTAGAATTAAATGAATCATTAAAAATAATAATACATTATCTGAATAACGACATTATTTCAAATAGGCCGTACTATTTTAGTTATCATTCGTATATTGAAATTTATTACTGTCTAGTAAGTATTCGCATCTTTTAATTGAATTGCCATATGGCGAAAATATCGGTTGGCTTGCCTGACCAATTCTATTAACCCACTAAAAAAATTATCATTTTTGACCATCCACAAGTAATCACCTTGTTCTTTAGCTACGTCAGCTATTATATACTTTTATTTAACTTGGCCAATAACTTCGACGATTAATAATATCTTCCGGGTTATAACTTCTAAATTAGGAACACTGCCCTTACCGTATTATGTTCAATATTGACTCGGCGTATACTGATGAATTTGTTTAAGGTGGGTCAATAAAAATAAAACTACTTTCACTTACCGTTGATTACTATATGTCGCATTAATTCTTATGTACTTTTTCAGGATTAATCAAGTAAAAATTTTATTACACATGATCTACAAGTAGTAACTGTTACCCGCACGATTCATTTTAAGAAAAAAAAAAAGAAGCTAGGTTAGCAAATGAAACTGTATACAGTCAGACCTCTCTAAGTGCACGCCCTTGGGACCACACTTTAACAACATGCATTTAGAGAATTATAAGAAAAAGTGCATTTATAGAGGTCAAGTATATATTTGGGCCAGGATCTGAGCGTGCATTTAGAGAGGGTGTGCACTTATAGAGGGTGCACTTAGAGAGGTCTGACTGTATTTTACTTCTATTCTATGTAGTCCTTTAGTCTTTTTTATGGGAAATACTAAAACCAAATTTGTCTATATTTATTCCTGATAAAAGTATTTTTTCATACCAACATATGCTGTCTTCGTGGATGAAAATTACGCCTAATGACGTCTGTGAACAAATTTTAAAGCTTGCAAATGAAGGTATAACACCCTCGCAAATTAGTGTGCGTCTCCGAAATTCGTGTGATTTTGGACCAGTTAAAAACATTACTGTAAATAAGATTCTTCGAATCTTGAAGTTTAACGGTAGGCTTTTTTTTTTAATAATATTAATAAAGGAAAGAAAGTTTGATGATTGAGTAGCGTTATTGAATTACTTCTTTTAAGGTCTAGCACCCGAGATTCCTGAAGACCTTTATCACTTGATCAAAAAAGCAATTGTCATTCGTAAGCACTTAGAGTGTAATCGTAGTGACAAGGACTCTAAATTCCGGTTAATTTTGATCGAATCAAGAATTCACCGTCTTGCCAGATTTTATAAAACAACAGGACTGCTTTCTTCAGATTGGAAATAGTATCCTTAAATTTGCTCTTTATATGATATTATCTAGGATTTTGTCTTTCAGTTATACTATGTGTAACATACTTTATTGTACAGTAAGACATCACCGAGGCAAATTACAGTATAACAACGATATTATCCTTAATTCTTTAATAGCGAATGCTATATAATCGCATACAAGTTCAATCAATGCTAATGTAAAGGAATATATTTTTCTTACTTGAATAAATTTTGATAATTAGAAAAATTTTGTTGGGGTAAGGCGGCGTGATAAGTCTGATGAAATACTTGTAAACCTTTATCGTTATGAAATTGTAAAGTCGAACAAATTTTTAATGCCTTTTAAACAATACTTGGTGGGACGTGAGCTGATCTTACATTCCAACTGTATTTATTATTTTCGTAACTTAAAATAAATACTAGTAAGTTAAATTACATTGCCATCCTGTTCATCAAAAGCACCTTTTCTTACGGCGCCCAATCAATAAATCCACATTTCACGAAGCTTTTTTTTTTTTTTAAAAAAAAAAAGCGAAGTTATGGCTAACTGATTATAATAAAGCAAATTTGTAAATTTACTTTATACTTTCTAAATAATGATGATACATTCGAATTCAAGTTTATAACGAACTGGATAGTTTAAAAAAAAAACGGTTTCCACTTACCATTCTCAACTGATATAAAATTTAAATTTTTACTGCTTGTGATAAAGACCATAGATCCATATGCCGCCAAGGAAAACCTGTCACCGGCTTTCAATTATTCTTTGCACCGGACAAAATCTATTTAATTTATTAGAGAATATGTCCAGTACAAAATATAATTGAAAGTCCTATGGCTATACTTGCCGCCCAAATCACTATAGTTTGAATTTGTCCGTGCCAAATCCCAAAATTAATATCAAGATAACTAACTTGTTTGATTTAATCTTTTATAAATAGCAAATATTTTTGGGAATTTGGGATTTGTCCGGGTTTTGCCAGCAAGTATACCGATGAAAGGTTTTGTCTTGGCGGCACTCACATATATGCACATTTCAGTTTACTCTATTTATAACAATGACTGTATATGAGATTTGGAATTTGGAATTTGGGATGGGATTTGGGATTTGGGAGGGATTTGGGATTTGGGATTTTGGCGGGATTTGGGATTTGGGATTTTGGCGGGATTTGGGATTTGGGTGGGATTTGGGATTTGGGAGGGATTTGGGATTTGGGAGGGATTTGGGATTTGTCCATTTTTGCCACATGGGATTTTTAGACACAGCTGGACAATCCCATTTGTCCGGGTTTGTCCATGGGCAAATCCCAAATCCCATGAGTTTTGCCAGCAAGTATAGTCTAGGCCTTTATATTCCTCACGATATATTTCCTAACTGGTAATAACAGACCAAATCTCCCTGTCTGTTAGTTGGATACAAGCTATATTATGTAATAATAGTTATTTCCAACTATATTTGTAGTAGTAATATTAGTTGGTGTTTGATATTGATATGTTCTTATATTGCAATTATACTCTATTTGTATTACTACTACTAGCCTGGTGTTTTCAGCCTTAATTTAAATTTTTACATGCTTTCATATATTGATCATTTACTTTACAAATAAAACCTTTCTAGTTTTAGTTTTTATAAAATATAAGTGATGTTTTCAATTTTGATAAGTTAATCTTTTATTATAGTTTATCCTTGTATTACTACTTTTTCACTACTTCAGTTTTAGTAATCTTGTATCACTTTTTCAAGCAAATATATACTTTAATCTAATCTAATAACTAATAATTTTTAGAGCTTATGTATATAATCTGATAATTATTCTTTCAAGCAAGTATCTCATAAGTTGGGTGTAAAATGTTGATATTGTTTAAATTAAAGATATTAAGTTATTGGTAGCTCATAATTTGGGTATAAAATTGTTAATAATGTATAAATTAAAATATTAAAATATTGATACTATTCTTGTTTTGCTTTCAAAAACTTATTTATAAATTGTAACACTAACTGTTATATATAATATTTTATGCTTTACAATTGGGTATTTTTTCAGAAATTTTTATTTCAGTATTATACTGCACTTAGATTTTATAGGATTTGTATCCAATTATGATTCTAATTGATTACAAAAACAATTTTTTAATTTTGCTTTCAGCCTAACTTGAACTATTAACTTTTCTGTGAAGTTTGGGGTTTAACCAATGAGCTATAGATCAAAACTCAAAATTTTAATATTTAAGCTATATTGAAAGTTATTTGCAAATTAATTTTTTTAAATTATATAAAACCAGAAAAAAATTAGCATTTGAGTATCAAAAAAAACCTTCATGAAAAATTAATAGCACACTTATTAGTCTATTACATATTATTTTTAAATTCAAATAATTAATACTGAGAGAGAAGTTAGGCTTTAAAGATTCATCATCTCAAATAGTAAATTACTATCAAAAAATGATTACTGTCTATCAATACAATCATATTAAAATTTGTGATAAAATTTCTTTAAGTTAATGTGATAATTTTATTACAAGTGGATCAAAACTCGGGGCATGTATAATCGAGACTTAGTTGGGTGGTTTTAACTCTCAACAAGGGTGAATAACCCTCAGAGAGGGATTGTAACCTCAGTAAGGGTTAATAAAGAGAAGATAGTACGTCCTGCTGTTGTATAATAAATAAAGTAACAATGTACTTTTCAAATAAACTACCC